TGACCCAAGATTAATTTTGTGCAGTAATACAGGCCACGTTTGCCATTTGCATGCACCATGGTCGAAATCGTGGTTGGTTTTATCCTGCATTTCCTTTTCTGGCCGGGGTGGAGTTTTCCTAGTCCAAAACTTCTGCCCAATTTAGCACGGAGAAAATGAACAGTCAGTCTTGCGTATTGTTATATGCATTTTAGAAGTCGGCCTCACAGTTTGATCAGGGTAGGCTCAGAAGGCTCGTAAACCTAGTAATACATAGTTTCAGGCCTGCATCAAAGACCTTCACAGCCCTCTTGGGAGAAGCTCTGAGTATTGATGAAAGAGAGAACTTATTGTATATGTAAGAAAACTTCTTTCATGGCTTATGTATGAAGGCAGGCTCCGTGGGCCAGAGTAGATTGGGGCTGCTTTTAATTTACATCTCCTCTCACTTATATTAAGGCTTCGTCAGAAGAAAAATTAGTCAGATGTTTTCTTAATGACATCATTTTTTTTTTTAATCCCATTTCATATTTTCCAGATGAGGCGGCGGAGATTATTAGAAATGAATTGAAACTAAATCTTGAACAGAGACTTTGATTCACTTCTCTTCCCTCCCGCACCCCTGAAATAAATTAATAGATTTCATAAACAGCCATCTTATTAGCAGGACTGACTATTAACCATAAATGAAGCCCGAGCTTCGTTGAGCTCTGCAGGCATGCTGGGCGTTGGAAATGATGTCATGCTTGAAATACAGGGAATGTTGTACTGCTCGGTGCCCTGTGCTACACACATGGGCCACACAGTCTGGGACAGGGCAGTTTTGGAAAGAGACTTAAGTTGCCTACATAATTTTGGTAACAAAATGACATAGTAGCGCAGGTGGGGAGGTTATGAGGTTTGAAATAGCCATGCAATCATAAGTTTGTCTTTCAGAGCTATAAAATGTAATGGACTTGATTCTGCTCTCAGTTACACCAGAGGAAAAGTAGGAGTTGCTCCGGTGAAAGTGTGTGCACGTGTGTGTTTTGGAGACTGATGCTTATAAATGATGGGTCTTTACAACCCAGCATTTTACCTTGTTGAGCCGCAGATTGTATCACTACAAGAGAGTACTTACAACTATAAATATTTTAAAAGACATTTAATTTATTGCACATCAGCAAAGGGTGTTCAAAGGCCTGCTGGGTTTACTGATTTATCAGAAAGACAAAGAGAAGCCCATAGAAGCTCAAAGAAAGACAAACTCCCCCATAAATTGCTGGATAAGGCTAGAAGGCATCTGTTAGGTTTACGTGTCATTTTGGTGATATTATAAATAAATGAAAATGCATCTGAACTGTTGCTAATATAAGGCACAATCTGTATCGTGAGGTTCTCAGTGTCCAAACACTGAGCTTGACTCTTGTGGTTGCATACGTATGTACAGACGGGGAGAAAGTTTCATGCACTCAGCAATGGCATATCTGAACATTTGGATGCAGAGTCCTTCCTAAAACAGCCCAAGTCCCATTCCATCTCTTGCCCACCGCTAACCCACTGCAGGTGCAGATGCAAGATGTTTGGAACAGGGTAAATGGATTTAATCTAGTAAGAGTGAAGCAGACATATGCACGGCTCTGCATTGTCATAAATCACTTCTATCCGGTATATAGTTACTCCTGGGAAAACGTCTATGAACACGACTAGATGGGATATAGAAGATCCCCGTACAAGTTTAACTTCCGGGGCAGCTCTCCACTCAGTGTGAACCGGCTCTCCTGCCACCTCGTGGCCAGACCTGTAATCGTATCTTGTTCAAGAGCACTGGCCTGGTGTCAGCTCCTTCTTGCAGAGCAGCGGTGTTCAATGTTTCAGCCCCACAGGATGAACAAGTGGCGCAGAGCCAGCCTTCAGGCTGCCTCCCCTGCAGGGTCCGTGCACAGAGTTTGACCTCCCATGCCCAATTTGGGGTCACCCCAATCAGACTGCACCCCCTCAGCCTGGCCCCATGCACCCAGATGGGGCTTCACATTGCCCCAGACCTGTGTGTTTGGTGTAGCATGCACAATCACAGTATCCGACCCACCTAGCTCCCCAGAGGTCCATAAATTGAGTAGCAGATGAGCAGCAGTTCTCTGCCACTGCTCCCCACCACCAAATTGCTGGAACCACGGAGAGCCTGGTGGGCCAGATGACATGGCTCCTTGGGCCAAGGGTTGAGCACCTCTCTTGCAGAGCAAACTCTGGGTGAATTGCTCCATCGTAATTGTCACGTGTCCACAACTTCATACTCTTTCTAGTCTTGAATCCCATTGAGCCTTCATGTCCTTTATTTGCAAGCATCTCCGCACTTTTACACTGCCCTGTGTGCCTGGTCTTGGACTCCACATGCAACAAAACTGGCTTTCTCCTGCTTCAGAGTCTTCCTCCAAGCCCACAATCAATGACATGTTCTGTCCCCAGCAATGATCCCAATATTTCTACACCAACCCTAATTAAATCTACATGGAGTTGAAAAGGGCTCTAACAAGATGCAGACCTCTCTCTTTTTGGTCTGATGGCACATCTCCATTTCTGGTGTCTAGCCTTGACTGTATACCCCTCAAACCTTGGTTGTAGTTTTTATCTCTCTATTCAGCATCATGAGCACTTTGGATACCATATTAAAATGTTAAAATTATTTGCACCGTCAGCTTTGCTTGGAGGAGCTCCTTTTTTCATGGCCTATGAAGGTGCTCAAGATTGGGACTGATACCAGCCAGCAAAATTCAGACCTGTATTTTATCACAGAGAACAAAACTGTAGAGCAAGTGGAGCTGGCTTTATTGCTACCAAGGTATCTAAGTAGGTTTGGAAGCTTGTGGTGGCATCCTTCAACCTCGTTACTCCTGGAGCAGCTGCTTCTGCGTTGAATTAGGCATCCAGTTATGGTTGTAGGAAGACATGGCCATCTACCAAATCCCACAGCAATTACTGGGTCTCTTCTCCAGTAGAAATCTCACTTCAGTGGGGACTTTGCCTGGGCAAGGATGGTGAGATTGGATCCTGTGGCTGGGTGGAACCTAATGATGCAAAGTAAAATCTGCTTTTTGAAATTCAACACGTGTTTTGATGAGCTTTGAAAAGGTTTTTCTGGGAGAGATTATTCACTCAGAGGGAGGCTGCAGTCTGCTTTGCACCTCGGGAGATGTCTCCTGAGTGAAAGCGTCTCGTGCCAGACCGAGCGTCTGCACACTTCTGCTCAACTCCTCCCGTGATCAAGAGGATTTAAGCAGGAGCTTCTCCCTGTCTGGGGAAGGTACGGGGACGTTCAGCTCAATGCCTCCTGATCACGGGAGGAATTGAGATGCTCCCCACACCCACAGCCTTCTCCAGACCAGGGTCACCCCAAAGCACCAGAAAAGGGGTGATTTCAGGCTTGAATGTCTGTATACTCTAGCACGTGGCATTTCCCAGGAATAAAAATGAACAGCTCTACATGCCCAATATATGGGGTAGAAAGCAGGGACTTTATCTAATCACTCCCCACTTTAAATACTCCTCCTTCCCAAACCTATTGTACTACTAGATCAGTGGTCCTCATCCTTTGTATGCCACCAGCACCCCTCCATAATCCTTATCTGCCCTCCTTGCACTGGAGCCTGCACGGAGGAGCTTGTGCTTTAGCTCCTTGCATAGAGAGAGCGGAGTAAGCCCTTAACCTCTTGCACAGGGTTGAGGAGTGAGCTTCTGCCCTCACATGAGCTTTTATCCTTTGCACTGGAACCAGGTAGAGTCGAGCCTCCCCTTACCTCCTTGCATAGGGCTCAAGCACTTATACCCTCAGAAGGAGCTTGCAGCACCCTGTTGAGAACCACTATATTGACACAGTGACAGTGACAGCTGCGACCTCCTTTGAGGGACAGTGTCCTGTCCGTGGCAAGTGACAGAAGAGCTCTCAAAGAGTAAATGGGGATTCAAGGCCACCCTCGGCCGAGCAGGAATCACAACCCAGTCTGGAACTTCTTGCCTTCGTGTCCATGGGTGCTGACAGCATTGGCAGCTTGTCCTCCATGTCTCACACCCCTGCCTGAAACGTAGAGCTTGTCTCTGCAGAGGGAGGTGAATCAGGGTTGGAATTGGCAGTACGCTAGCTTAAGCCCCTGCCTGGATGCTCCAATTGGGCATTAAATGTGAGGTATGCAGCTCCAAAAATAGAGCAAGCTGCCGTGCACAAAAGCATCCTTTGCACACGCACCTGCACACTTGTGGAGAAGGCCTTACGATCGCTCCTTGTGTCTGTTGCCTTTGGCTGTCCTGTCCATCCTCCTGACTTGTGGACCAGCAGAGAACTCTCCTCTAAAGTGCTGCTCACTGGTCTCTTCCTTTCCGTCTCCCTCGTCCCGAGCAGCGTTGTGTCCTCACTGTGAGCAGGTTCACAAGAGAACAAAGGCTGGCCCGTCCCTTCCCTCTCAGCGGGAGATGGCAATGGGCTTGATTCTTCCATCTCAAGTCTACAAGTGGAAGAACAAAACCTTTGACAAGGGCAATATTGGGCCCTGGCATTGGCTTAGCCCTGAGACCTCAGTGTGCAGAGCATGCACACCTGAAACCGCTCTCAGCATCCCTGCGATGTCAGGGTGGTGGCAAATTTGCGATGGCGCGACGTCTTACCTATCACAGTGTCACATGCAATGACAGTAGCAAAGCTCACAATAGCTGCTCGGCGTCATCTTCCTCCACCGCTAGTAAAGATCCTCTTCATTAGCTGTTGGCAGCATGACGCATGGTCAGCCCATTGTGATGGTCTCCAGGTGATGGCAATGGTTTATCTTCCTATTGCCCAGCTTGCAGACATGGTATAGAAGGAAAAAGCAAAGGCACAAGTCACTGAAATGACTTGCATCAGGTCAGACAGCAAGTCGGATCTGGGAAAGAACCCAGAAGTCCCATTTTCTGGTTTTAAATTTTTTATTTTTTTTTAAAGGCCTCAGGAGATACTAGTGAACTTGGAAAGGATACTAGTGAACTTGACAGTATATGTTTCATTTCCTCCACAGGCCTCCTACCCTGAGTGGCAGCCCCGTTATCTCCGACATCTCCCTCATTCGCCTTTCTCCTCACCCGGCAGGCCCCGGTGAGTCGCCGTTCAACCCCCCACACCCCTACGTGAGCCCCCACATGGAACACTACCTCCGCTCCGTGCACAGCAGCCCGACCCTCTCCATGATCTCCGCTGCCCGAGGCCTCAGCCCCGCGGACGGTAAGTGCTGCGCCTCTTCTCGACCCATGGCTGTCTGGTAGCTTTTCAAAGAAAGGATGGAGATCTTAGATCAGTTCCTGTGGACCTATGCCCCCTCCCAGAACAAAAGACGAAGGAACGTATCCCTAGAAATCCTCTCCTTTAGTTGAGGCTGATGTGGGGCATAGGGGGGAGCTAGTGCTATGCTGGTGGGCTTGCTGTGCAGTCTCTGCGTCGTAGATCGGGTGCTGTTCACCAGCCCCAAATTCACTGAAACCCACGGATCTGCAGCTGCAAAAGGTCTACAGTTGCTCTGTGAAGTGGGCGAGCCATATTCCCCCCCACACTTCCCCCCCTGCCCCCGCACCAATCTGTAACTCTACATTTGTTTTGCATCACTGCATTGAAAACCCGAGCGTGAGAATAGCTATGGCTGTTGGCTCGCATCGTAAATATTTTGGTTAAAGCGGTGCTCTCTTTTACTGCAGTCTTGACTCTCTGATGAGCTTTTCTGGTGCTGGGTCCCCCCGGGAGTCCCCTCGCCCTCCGACAGTACCGCAGTTGCTCTGAGTGTTTGTTGTGTCTTCGCTCTCCACGCACGTTAAAAATATGAGGAAATCCCAGAGACGCTTTTGGGTCCCAAACAGCCAGGTCTGCTAATGTTGGGCACAAACATACAAGGCCTTGCTGTGTGTGCACACTGCTGCTCTGTTGGGTTTGGATGGCTCCTGCAATCGAAAACGATGGGGCCTGCTAGAGGGCTCATCGACTTCTTAAAGGCATGCTGCTGTAGACACTGCAACACTGCCGCCTGCTTCTAGCCCTTCTCATGCGACAGATATCTTAATATAAAGAAGAGAGGAGCCTGCAGACCTCCTTCCTTTGTATTTCCACTCCTGTATGGTTCCTTGCAAAGGAGAGGGGTTATGAAAGCCTAGTGTTTGATGCTCGGAGTCTGCAGGCCCTATTGCACATTTGTAACCCAGGTGCTTCCAAGCTTCAGGCTTGATTCAGTACAGCTCCCCTCTTCCTTAGCTCAGCAAGCCAAGGCCTCGCACAAGCTGACAGAGTTTAAATTATGCTAAAAGCCCAGTATTTGAGGTATGAAAGGGGAGAAACACAAAGCAGGTGCTGTTCCCAAAAGCATTTCAGAAACCATTGAAATACAGATGTGGCCTTTTGGAAGCCTGCATGGATGCAGGGCCAAACTCTCTACTAATGCCAGCTTTTGCACCCACGGAGAATTTGTCCCATTCCATTGAATCAGTCTGGTTCTGTTTTCCACTGTAGTGATGGAAATTGGGAATATTTTCTTGGGAGATTAGTTGTAAAAGAGTGTGCATGAAATGTTGAAGGTGCATGCCTGGAGAGGAAGGCCTGTTTGTTATGCATTGATGGTGGGCCCAGGTTCATCTGGAATGACAAGCCCTCCTCGGGCTGGAGAGAGGCCACCAAATGTACAACTAATTCCATGGGGCCAAACCTAAGAAAATAGGAAGAGGAGTGTAGATTATAAATTAATAACTAAGATGCTGAAGAAGCATACTGAGCTGTGAAGCCACCCAGTGAAACTCTTCTTGGAGACATGCTAGGGCAATAAATAGAAAGACAGCCCTTCAGTCATTCAGGTTCTCTCTGGCCAGCTCCCTCCTCCCTAGTCTGGTGGATGGAGAGCTTGACCGGGGCCAAAAATAAGTTAATTGGAAGGTCCCAGGATTGTGGATAGGGTGTGTATAAAATAAAAGGTGTGGGGAAAAATGTAGCTGGGACCTCAGTAGGAAGTTCTCGAGGAGGGTAGAGAGGCCACAGTCCGGTGTACATGAGGTAGGCATGTCCCAGGGTCTCTCTCTGGCTGCAGAAGGGAAAGGGATCAGGGGAGTCCATGAAGCACGCCTGATACACACCCATGCCGAGGGCTTCATTCACAAACCCCCAATTGATCCCCCGGTGCATTGTGAGACTAAGGTAGAATATAAACCGGTCCACCGGAGATCCTCGCTGCCAGCACAAATGTCCCATTGTGTGATTTCGGGATGGGATGCGAAGGCAGCACGGTGAATGGTGTGGAGCACAAGCATGTCAAGCTGGTAGCCATGGGCCATTGTATAATGGACCAGTTTGCTGTCTCCCACCCTGCTGAGGTATGATAGGGTGACTGTTGAGGCAGGGGTCCCAAGACCTAGAGGAGAAGGATGGCTCAGTGCTAAGGGTGCTGCCATGGGCCTTGAGAGCCCTGAATTCAACTTTCTGCTCCGTTTCAAGCTTCCTTGGTGATCTTGGCAAGTCATGTATGACCTGTCTACATTGTGGGAGCAGGGTTAGGGTTAGGGTCACATTGCTGAGAAAACCAGATCCGTGCCCGCTTCCTCCATATGGATTTGGCCACTTGTCCGCTCCATGCCTGGGGCGGTCATGCGACATCTGGGGCAGCATCGACTGCCACGGTGCTGACCACAGAGCCATGATAAGCTGTTGTTATAGTTGTGGCGATTTTTGCACTTGGCCCCCCATCAAGGGAGCAGTCCCCCCACAGTTGTGCTCCCTCCCACTCCATATGCATCAAACCCACGATGAGGGTGCCCTGGGGTGCACCAAGCTGCTATTCTCAAGCACACCACCAACCTTTAGCCTTGAGGACAATGCCAAGGATGCACTCACTGCCTTATTTCCAGGGCTGACGCCCACAAAACAGGGGCAGGTGGGCAAGGAGCAGCATGGCTGAGCACCACTGGATGGCCCTACCCTTAGTCTGCCCATTTGCTATCTGTAAAATGGGGATAATAGCTCTTCTGTACCACACAATAGTTTTGCATAGTAAATGCATTAAAAGATTACGAGGTCTCTGATGTGCTTAGATGCCATTGTAACTGGGGCCATTTAAGCGCTCTGGATGGATGCGCTCACGTCCCTTGAATTGTGGCTCTTCTGTTCCTGCTAATTTGGGTTTGCTACTCCCAAGGGCTTCACCCTGGCCCGAGTTCAGCCTCCAAGCCTCTCCTCTCAGCACACAGCGGAGAAGTTTGATTGTTCACATGCTCATTTGTTGTCCTTTGCAAAATGATTTTCATTATTTGATATTAAAAAGAGCCATCCTGGGGGAGTGTATATGAGTTTAAGGCCACGGTAAATAAGTTCCTGGTTTGAAACATTACAGCTGGGAGACAGTGAGTGGAATTGGGTTTGGCAGCCAGAATGGTTTTATGCTGCCAGACACTAAACCTAGCTCCATGCATTAGGACTCCGCTTTAATTTTCTTTGCGCTGCCATCATAAACTGGGCTGTATTTGTCTTTCTTACCTAATAGGCATGAATGTCGATGCTGACAGCCTCGCTGCTGTTCGCTGCTCGGGCCCTTTCCCCCTCCCCCGCGGCGGAGGCTGTTGTCGTACGGGAGGTTTATTAGAAGGAGGAACGAGAGATTGTTTATAAATTTGCGGAAATGGAGGAATGCAGAGGCCCCAGCTTGGTGTCTTTTGTCCGCAGAAACACGCCCAGACGCACGTCATGAAAGCACCGAACTGAGTTGTAGCAAGAGGGCTTGAAGTTGGGAGTAAGGGGGTGGAGGGGAGACGGGGCTGACATCACCGGTGAAGTTTTGTTCGCTGTGAGGATGTTTTCTCCATGTTTTTCTCCTCGCTCTCCCTCTGCAGTGGCTCACGAGCATCTGAAAGAGAGAGGCCTGTTTGGCTTGCCCCCACCTCCTCCAGGAGCCAACCCAGCTGAGTACTATCACCAGATGACACTCATGGCCAGCCACCCGAACCCTTACGGGGACCTCCTGATGCAGAGCGGGGCAGCGGCCGGCGCGGCACATCTTCACGATTACCTCAGCCCTGTCGACGGTGAGTAGGGGATGCGCCGCTTCCCTCTCCGGGCCCCGCTCAGCAGAGCCCTCTCCTGGGTGACGTTTACCCCAGGACGTTACTGCATGAATGCGCTCAGGACTGTAGGACCGTGCTGCCATTTGGGGTACAAAAGGTCCATTTCATCCATTTAACCTATCAAAAATAATGCCGTGACCTTTTGGAGCGGTGGCACGGTCGCTACGTTCAAAGACCTGGGTTCTACTCCCTGTTTGGCCGTTGACCTCCGGCGTGCCCGTGGGCAAGCCACCTCACTGCTCTTCTGTATCTGTTCCCTACCCCGTCCTGTCTACACTTTATTTAGGTTGTCGAGAGTATCCAGGGCAAAAAGTGCCTGTTTCTGTGGGTCACGGTGCCTACTGCAACACGGCCTGGGACTTTGCTCAGTCTTCTAGGTGCTTCCTAGATAAATTGCAATGAAGCTGGGGCGTACAAATCAGTATTTCTGTGCCAGTAATTAAGGGCAAAGAACATGACAGGCATAACGTGATTAGACCAAAAGCAGGTGTTATGAACCCAGGGTTAATCTTAAAATCATGTTGGGGCACGAGCATGCTTGATTTGGGTATCTGCATGACTTGTACTCTGCCTTGCTGTGATGCCATGGAATAACGGTGCAATTATCTTTGATGCGTGTAGTCCTATAATTGGTTAAGCCCATTTTTAGAAACATTTCTCTTCTTCCTCAGGATGTGCCTGCATGGCAGGGTCTAGGTTAGACAGTGGGGATGTACAAACCCCACTGAAAGGCAGCTTTAGCCTCCAGATACACAAGAGGGGAAGGCCCCGGCTTCAGTCTGCTTGGCTGCATTCCTGGCTGCTCGAAGGACCAGCTGACTTGACTCATTGGAATTAAAATGTGTCTTTTCATGACTCCAGCATTGAGCTTTTAAACCCAAAGACTTTGAGGTCTTGGGGTGTCTTTACATGTGCTCTGGGGTTGGGTGGGCGCAGTTTTAATTAGAGTGGCTCTGAGAGCTGCTCTAATTAAAGCGCCCGTAGTGTCTTGTGTATTCAGTGTCCCACACTTCAATATGGCAGTAAGAGCACTTTAACTAAAACTCATTTGATGAGTTTTAAAGTGCCCCCACCGCCATTTTGAAGTGCAGAGATGCTGAATACACAAGACGTGGATGCTGCTGGAGTGCACTAATTAACACACTTGACGAGTTTTAGTTGAAGTGCCCCTCACTGCCATTTTGAAGCGTGGGGATGCTGAATACATGAGACGTGGATGCTGTTGGCACGCACTAATTAGCACACTTGACAAGTTTTAGTTAAAGTGCCCCCACTGGCATTTTGAAGCGCGGGGATGCTGAATACACGAGACGTGGATGCTGCTGGAGCGCACTAATTAGCACGCTTGTCAAGTTTTAGTTAACGTGCCCCCACCGCCATTTTGAAGTGCAGGGATGCTGAATACACGAGACGTGGGTGCTGCTGGAGCGCCCTAATTAGCACGCTCCAGCAGACACGATTAACCAAGTCTGCTCTGACACGCTGTAACGACAGCACGTTGGAGCAGCATCCCCGCACGTCTGCAGGCACCCTCGATGTCTGGAACCGGCTGTGTTTGGTCGTAAATCTAGCGAGAGGAACTTCCAATCGTTTCTGAACACAAACCAGTTCCAGTTTACAGCTGGTGTGGACGAGTCACCTGGACAATTATCATCGTCCATGAGCAACTAGATTGATCAGGAACCAGGATTTGATGTTGTGAGCCTTTTCTCATGGCCTCATCCCTTCCGCATGGCCAAAGCTGATAAAAGACCATAACAGATGGTCAGTAATAGTTTTCCTTTGCCCTTTCCTTCTCATGGTTAATCTTGGTGGGGTCTAATAGATGGGTCCTTCTCTGGTTTTCTTTCTGCAGTGCCCTTTTTCTGCAAAGTCGGCATCTATTCCCTTCCCACCACCTCCTTATTAGTCCTTGTCTTGATTTGTGCTTGGTGTCAGTGCCTTGCTGAAGTGCCAGATAAACATCCAGTTGGGAAAACAAACACAACTTCCCTTTTGCTAACACAGGCCAATGCTCAGCGCACCGGGACTCCCTCCCGTAGGCCAGCGAGCCTCCAGCTCGCAGCTGAAGTCATCTGGGGTTTTCTGTCCTCTTGGCTTCTCCTACTGCCCCGGACGGCAGGCGGCCGTGCTGGGATCAGTAGGAGGTCCGTGCACTACTGAGCGTTGGGATCAGTATATACGCCGCTCCTTTAACACAGCTGTGTGGATCGCTGCCTGGAAATCCCAGTGCAAACCTGAAGACGCCATTAATGAAACAAAAACCATTAAGCACTGGTGGAAATAAATGAAGACATGTCGTGAAAGACCAGAAGAACTTTTTAAAAACTGGAACCATGTCCATAAAACAAAGCATCGTTTTATACATCAGGCTGGGGTTTATTTTCCGGCCATCTTTGGCTTCAATCTGTCTTCCCCACAGCAGGGAAAGGAGTAGAGATGTTGTGTCTGCATCTAAGACTTTGCTTCAGCACAGCACTCTAAATGCTTGAAGTCACCGGGACTTGAGCAAATGCTTGGCCTTTTCTAAACTGGGCCCTGAGCCTTGTAAACAGGCATTGCATAGTTTGCATTCTGCCGTCTGGATTAAGTTGCCTTCGGTTCAGTCGCTTGTCTAATAACGTTTGATTTCAGTGAGGGAGCTGTGAGTCACCAGGATCGGGAGCGACGTGCATGCTTCAGAAACCACATTTGAAGACTTCGAGATTCCCTTTTTCGTTTAGCACATTTTTTCTAGGAGTCGACTTTAAATAAACGAGGACCATATACGTACGGGGAGAGAGCCATACCAAAAGAGAGGAGAGGGGTTTTGTGAGCTAAGGAAATCAATAGCACACATCTTGTGTCAGAGAGCAGCTCTCCTCCCAAAGGATCCTTGCGGTGTCTTAAAGACTTTACAACCGCAAAAATCATGTTACCTGTTCCTGAAGGGCAGCCAACTCTAGGGTGGAGCACCGCCGCTGATAAATAGCACCCAGTAACATGACATGACATTGTACAAGCCCGCAGATTTGTTGTATTAAACTGAACAACAAGCTTGGAAAGACAGATTGTAAGCAGAAAGCCTGTCCTTCTTGGAGATCACAGTGAACAGAACAGATGCACAGCTCTCAGGAGAACGTGCTTTACAGCAAGGGTGCTGAACGTACGGCTTGTGGGGCAGATGATCGGGGTTGTAGGGCTTCTTGCAGGCTGGACAGCCCATCTCTGCAGGTGGGATGTGGTCCACAGGGCTTGTGGCTGCAGTTGCCCGAGCTGCTGAGTTAATGCAGCTTGGGAACCCAAGAGGTTAATGCCACTATCGCTCTTCTCTCTTATCTGCTGCTGAAATGCAGGGTTTGGGTTGCTGTTTGCAACCAAAATTAGTATGAGGGGGAAAGTGGGGGGCAAGTGGTGGCCGCATGGACTCCCTTGATTCTGGAGCTGCGCCAGCACAGCAGCTCTGACAGCCATGCAGGCTAATGCCACCTCCACTCGCTCTGCTGCCAGATGTAGGACTCATCTGGCGGCCCAGGTCCAACCCTTCAGTCCAGATCGACCCCTCAGGACCCAATGAGTTTGACATCCCTGCTTTAGGGACAGCCCCTCTGAGCTTTTTCAGGCAAAGTTGGAGCAAGACAGCCGCGTGCCATGGTTCTTTCCCAGTCTTGGTTGCTTCAGTCTTTTGCTTGGTCGCCTCTTGGTTGCTTCAGTTGAACCTGTGGAGTGATCTCTAGATGCACTAGGACTTGCCTAGGTTCTTTCATCAGCTCAGTGTAAGTGGTCTGCAACAGAGTAATGGAGCAAAAACCCCTCCATTTGTGTGCATCATGTGGTTTGTGAGCTTGGCTTACCTTAATTTCACACCCCTGCAGATGCTTAGAGCAGGAGTGGGCAAAATGCGGCCCGTGGGCCAGATGCGGCCCACCAGGCCATGCCATCTGGCCTGTGGTACCCCTAAAAAATTTAGAAAATTAATATTTATCTGCCCCTGGCTGCCTGTCATGCAGCCCTCAATGGCTTGCCAAAACTCAGTAAGTGACCCTCCACCTGAAATAATTGCCCGCCCCTGGCTTAGAGGGTGGATCTGAGGTCGCTTCTCACCGAGGAGTGCTGTACCTGTGCAGCAGATCTACTGCACTGAAGTGGCTACATCAGGGTGGCCGACGCTGAAGTGGCTATGTCGGGGTATGGGGAGATGTAGCATTTGATGCACTTCACATGCTTTTGAAGTGTTTCAAAGGAGAGCTGCACAGATGTACACACCCTTTGAAGCGCCCCAGAAACAGCCTAAGTGATCCTAAAATGGCTCTGAAGGAAACCAGTACTATTTAGAAGTGCTTCAAAATGAAACCCCTTTGGATACATATGCATGCTCTCTGGAGCATGACGGGGGACACCCTCGGAGCCGGGGGGCTGAAGAGCTGCACCGCAGTCCCCCCTGCCCTTCCCACACCCTGGGGTTCATTGAGCCAGAGAGCAAGACTGGGGAGCCTCTTGGTGAATGCATGCACCTGGGAGGTGGGAGCTTCAAGGTCATCTCTCGCTGAATAATTCTCTGTTGAAAGTGAAGCTGGTCCAAAAAGAAAGAGTTCAGCCCTGGAGAAGCTGGTGGTAAGGTTGTTCACCTGTGACACAGGATTTGAGCCTGGTTCCCCAAATGCCAGGTGAGCTCCCAAACACCTGGCCCTCTCTCTGGCATGGCGGCTCCTGCTTGTTTTTCTCAGAAAGCCTTTAAAAACTCTCATGCAGAATGGACATTTTCTCAATTCTTCTTGAAAAATGTTATGGGATGAGAAAGCCGTGCCCTGTCCAACCCTATTCTCCCTGTGGGGTGGGGAGGAAAGGAGCAAACGGAGCAAGAGAGACCTGGAGCATCTCTTCCGCCATTCATCTGGACTTCTCCTGACCTCCGGTCCCTGAAGAATGCACTCGGTGTATGCAAGTTAGGCCACGTAAGCGGTTACCTCGTGAACTGGGAA